AACATAGAAGCAGCTTGTCTGTGCCCAGGAGGTAATCATAAGGATGACCAAATCTGCTCACGGTGTGTGGGCTTCTCCCTCATGCACTTTGAAGCAATCCCCCAGACAGACCTGCCAGCTGGGTGGCTTGCTCACAAATCTAAGCTTACTCACCTTCATGTCGGACGTGCACAGCTGTGAGTACCACCATCTGGGCTGTATCCTCTGTATATAAGATTAGGCTGATTTCAGATGAGCTGTAGAAATGGCGTAGCCATACCATCATTTAGAAATAATCTGCTGGGTTGGGGGGAACTCACACTGTGCCTTCTTTATGTTATGAGGGGGTATGAGAAAATGTGCAGAGCCAAACTGTGCTTTCCACTCTGGGTTGGAGCACTCTGGTATGTTTCCTGCCCACTGCTCTCTTGTGCCGAGGGAGATAAAAAACAAAATCTGCTGGAGAGGGTGCCCCTATCTATTGTCCTGCCTCTGACCAGGGTACAGAGGGCAGAGAATGTACATGTAAGTTGGTGTCCCATCTCGTCAACTGTTCCTAGTGCTGACCTTTCTCTGGGTATGCTTCTCATCCGACCCAGTTCCTAGGGCAGTTGTGTCCTTTGGGTGCCAATGGAGGCTTAGTCCTCATTCCTGTTCACACAAGCAATGCAGGTCTTGCCTACCCTGGTATACACAACAGGACTCCCTGTAAGATCTTGTTAGCCTGGACATCTTGTGTAATCTCAGAACAGTTCCCCTCATCCTTGGTCATGATGTTCCATTTAGAGAGCACTTATATTCTGGAGAGGCTGAAAGTGAAGAATGATGCAGTTGTGACTGGTATTTCAGGGGTGTTTGGAGATATTCAACACTGTTGAATATGCCAGTATACATAGATGAGGAGCGGGAGAGGTTTGCTTAATGGTGCTAGGGAAGGGAGTCCTACCTCTCATGTCAAGATGTAGTCTTTTGATACTTCCTTTAGACTCCCTAGAGGGTTTACAGGGTAAGACCGAGGCTCTGCCCCTGCCATATGCATCCACATGACCCTCCAGGGAAGTATTTTGTATTTGGCAGTGTTAAAACTTCCTTCCCTCCCTGTCCTGCTCAGAGGCAAAGAATGGCAAACTTCTATTTACAATAAACAGTTGTACTGTATAGCTCTTGAAGAGTGCTGCGAAGGGAACCTAAACGTGAGAGTTAAAAGCGTTACTGGTCGGGTCTGAGGGCATTTGCTAGAGCGAGAGCGATGTTCAGCTGTAGCTGTGGTTGCCAGGACTCAATGGATGCTGACCCTTGCTGCTGACAGCATTATAATCTTCTGTATCTGTGACTCACGCCAGCACTCCAGCCTGTCACACCTTTGTTACCAGTACCAGGATTGGAAATAAAGACTGCTTTTTTTTTTTTTGTCAGCAGGCCTGAATGACACATCTTCATTACCCTGGTGCAGGAGGAAGCCTTCCTCTTTGTGTCTGTCTCTGCATTAGGGAACAGGGTCGGTTACTCCTAGCATAGAGCTCGCTACTGCGATTCTCCTAAGCAGAGCTTTGGTCTCCCAAGCTAAGCACAGAGCAGGACAGAAGCTCCTTTCTAAAGATCTCTATGCTGTAAACACTAGGACTGTTTGACCCACTGTTAGCTGTGGAGACCACCAAAAAATTAGATTTTGGGGGTGTGAGGCAATGGCCAAATTGATTGGGTACACATGGAAAGAATGGCCTTCCCCATGGTGTGTTTGATGCTGTACATGCATCTTGCTATATTGTGGGAACGTGCAGTGGTGGTAAACATATTTCCTCTTTGTTTCTGAAACAGCAGCTGAAGATGTTGCAGTGACAGTGGTGGGAGACTCAGTGCTACTCAGTAATGGCCACGTGCACAATGAAAGAGAAGAAAAATAATTCCGGGAAGCTCAATAACAAAAAGCGTCTTCATTTTGAAAAGCAGAAGATTATCCCTCCCCAAATACCCCAAAGACTTTTTCCAGGCAGGGAGCACAGCTCTACTGTCATAGCTGCTTTGGGAATAAGGCACTCGGAGGACTGGAACAGCAATAATCCAAATGGCCCCTTTGGCTACTGCTGCCTGCTGAGTCTTGAGGGCTTTGCAGTGCCAAAATGGAAGTTCTTCAGAGTAGCTGTATGCAGCAACCAGACCTGCTTCCCAGGGGATGATTTATAGTGTACTTTCTAGACCACAGACTTACCTCAGCTTTAGACTGTAAATTTTGTAGGAAAAATTGATAAACCTGTGAGAGCCACAGTCTCGACAGAGATTTCCAGGTGCTTCTAACATGATTCTTCTGAGGGAGTGACTGCAGGCTTAGGTCTCCAAGAACGCACTAAGTGTCTAGCACGTACAAGCACTTTGGCTCTTATCGCAAGAAGTCCCACCCTTGCCCTGAGTTATTGAGCTCAAGAGCTTAGCAATGAGCACTTGCAGGGCCCTTACTTACCATGATAAAGTATTGATATTAAAATTGTGCTTGGTTTGGGGGTTTAATTTCTGCGTGTACTGTTTTTTCTGTCTTACATGTGCAATCATAAAACAGGAGTTGGGTTATTCAGCTCCCAAAAAGGATTTTAGCTCTGTGCTATGATACAAAGAGTGTCTGATTGTTAAAGTAAAGGGGATAGGAAGGTGTGGCTAGAGTGGCAACCCTGGTGATGAGGGCAAGGACCACCGTGATAGTTCTTTAAATTCCTACACTTGTGGATATAGGCATATTATAACTGCGTGTTTACAGCAGGCATTTACAGGTGTCTCCTAGTCATAGAAGTCAAAGGGGCACCCACTAGAATTTAACTCTGCATTTTTCATAGCTCAGGTTTCCAGTAATACCTCCAGGAAAACTATGGTATCTGTGCCAGTTTGTTGGCTTTGAAGTTTCAAGTCGTAGAATTGAAAAGTTTCTCCAAGTGAAATTCAGCTCAGTAAGAAGGATGCAAACTTTACTTTTCATGATGTCATTTCCCCAAAGCAAAATCGGTCTTTTCTGCAGCATTTTAATGGAAAAGTGACTTGGAACACAAAGAGTTTGGGATGCTTTGACAAGTGAGCATCAAACTCATGGCAAGTCTCTCTCAAAAAACCCCAGACAAACAGTTGTTTTTGGCTTTAGGTAGTGTATACTTGCTAGCTCCCTGTTGCAGTGGACACTGAGATTGCAGGGGTTGATGGCTATGCTGGAATGATAACCTGAGGGTACTTCTAACATTCAGTTTTCTGTTCTGACCGTCAGCATCCCTTAATCCCATTTACTTCTCAGCTGGGATTCTTCAATATTTTATGTTCTGAAAATCTAGGGGATGGTAAGATCCAGTAGAGATTTGTAATTTCGTCCTAAATAATGTCATTACGTCTTTTTATTTGGTCACTGATACATAGGCTAATAATTTCTATAGTTAATGGAATGACTGAGAACAAGGATTTTGTTCTCCCTTGTCTAGTAAAACCTGCAAAACAAAGTTACATGTGCTGTATGTATTACTTTTAATATTTAAAACCATCACAGCCACGTGATGGGAGATGTCTGGCATCAGAAGAAGTTTCCAAAGGGTTGTTAAAATGAAGAAAAAGAAGGTGCCTTCCAAAAACAAACACCACTTTTTACTTCATCTAATAAGCTGTGAAATTTAAAATGATACTAGAATAATTATGATTGCTTGCTGTAAATCTGCATAGATTTAGCTCTCTTTTTTTTTTTTTAATGCTATAAAGATAAGTTTACTGTCTGTGGACTGCATCCTTCTTGCACTACACATGTGACTAAATCTGTGGGGCCCAGTGGCCAAAAAAAAGACCCAGAAAGGCATTAAAATAGTTTAGCCCGTTCAGCTGCTAAGTCATCTTACACATATTTTCCCCCTAACTGGTTTTGTGTATATTATTGTCAAATATGAATCTGCAGAATATCTCCTGGTCTGGAATCCTGTCCTCTTAGAGCAGTCAGCAGTTCTCCTGCAGCCTTGCTTAGTGGCTGGTACATGCACATGTTAGGACCTATGTACTGTGCTGTTTTCCCAGGCAATAATTTTCATATATATTTTCACACTTTCTTAATTAGTTTATGTAACTCATTTGTTTCTGGCACCAGTCTGCATCTGTTCTTTTATTTTTTAAAATGCCCGCATAATTTGGAAAGTTATCAATAGCATGTGATCACTAAAGCAAAACAAACAAAAGATAAAAATTAATCTAAGTTTACTTTTATCTATGGTATTCAAAGACAGTGAAAAGTATTGGTCATACTATGTAGATGTAGGGCTACCCTCACTGTAAATGAACCAGTTTTAATGTCTAGATAAATAGTTGTATACCTATAAACTAAACCTGTGTATCCGACTAGTTCAACTTGCTAAGGATCATCATCAAAGTTTTGAATACCTTTAAAAGTTATTTTTCAGAACACAGATATTCTATATGTAACTTCTGTTGTACTATTTGAAATGGAAACGGGCTGCAAAGCCTGCCAACTCATCTTTCATGTGCCTATCCCACTGGTGTCTGTCTCTTTCTGCAGAATCAAGCTTGCACAGCACAGCGTTTCTGTTCCCTTTTACATGTGGTCCTCGTTAAAAAAAATACAATGAAGTTTAGCTGTGGTGAAATTATTTATTTGATTTTTTTTTAACTGGTGCAAAAAGTAAATATGTTTACTGTGTCCCATTCCATTCAGTGTATTTCCTTTTTTAAGCTCCATTTGTGTTTAACAAGACAGCCTCCTTCTCCAAGATTAACATTTCTTATGATTGTTCCTGACAGAGGATTTACTTTCAGAGGCCCTGCTAAGGATAACCAAAAAAGGGCATGTAGCAAGACAGTTTTGGCAGCTTGCATGAATTTTCGGAGCTTTTTAGGTCTTGGTTTTCTGATGAGTGGCTTCCTGAGCATGCCTAGGGAATGACAGGCATCTCTGCAGGCAGGCTGAACCCACCTTGGCTTGTGCGTAGTCATTGGCTGCCTATTAGAATAAATTGAGGACAATGCATACCGCTGCCTGCCAATTGTAAACATAAGGGATATGTATTCACTTAGCATTGACTTTTGGGAGGGGCCAAGGAAAAGCTGTAGTTTTATTGAATAGGGCTGTGTGTGAGGCTGCTGGTGTGCCTTTCTTGCTGTGCTCCTGCCCAAGCAGCCAGTTATTCATTTCCTTCCTACTAGTTGAAAACTTTTCAGCCAGAGGTAAGGGCTTAAGATATGTATTTGTTCGGGAGTGAGCTGGTCTGACTGCATTTGTGTTACGGCTAGAGATTAAGCAGCATGCGAAATCTAACGAGCTGTGGAAATAGTGCGAAAGTGTCGGATGCTATTTTTCCTCCCTTCCTCTCTCTGTGCCCCCCTTTCCAGATGTTTGTGGTGAACTAAGGGGGATGTCTGTGCCGGGCGGGTGGAGGGGCTGCATGGTTGCCCACCCCAGTGGACCCTAAAAAGGAGGTGTGGGGGCAAGGCTTTGGGTGCAGAGCAGGGTCTGTGCTGGTCCTATTTCATTTGAGATCCTGCAGCAGGCTTGTTAGGGGAGCAATAACCTGTGTGGTTGTTTGTTGGGGTTTTTTGTTGTTTTTTTTTTTCTTTTTTGAAAAAGGAATTGCAATGAAAAAGTTTTTAGCATGGTAACGGCTGGTGAATTGCTTTTAATTTTGCAACTTAATACCTGGGCTTTCAGAGCAGCCTGACTGCTAAGGCAGTCTCCCGGCGTAACTGATACAGCTACAGTAAAGCTCTGGTTAATGTAACTGATCTGATACTTGCTGAAGCAGATGTCCGTCATGGCAGCCTTTCATAGAAGTATTGTTGACAATAGATGGCATCCGTTTTTGTCTTCAGCCTTCAACATGCGCAGCAGCATATTGCCAGAATGTTTCTTGTGAAGTTGTCTTTCCTGTTAAAAGGGGGAGAAAAAAATGCACTTGGGTGGGACCGGAGCTCTTAAAAGTCTGGGTCTGTATTTGTGTCAGTCAGAGCGCTGCTGGGGAGAGCCAGCGAGCAGGCTTTCCTTCCCAGCTCCTTTGACATGCTCGGACAGATTGAAAGCACTGTGCAAGGCTGGCTGCTGATAGCACGATATTCTGCATAGTAGGGAATTTCTCAGAGAAAGAGCTGGGAAAACGAAGGGAGGGATGAAGTTAGCTGCAGATGGATACTTGGGAGCAGCAGACTTTGGCCAAACTAGTAACCTCCGGCGAGACCTGCAGCAACAGAATTGATTTTTCTCGTATATATTGTTTGGCAGAATGGGCGAGATAACTGTTTTAAAATGACTTTTTGTGGAGTATTTATTTTCAGAGGAGTACTTATTTTCAGAGTACGCAGCTTTTATGCAATTTTGCCTAGCTGAGAAGGCTTCTCTTGCTAAAAGGCGTACAGGAGAATTATTTCTGAAAATAACACATTCCCTCTTTGGCAGCAGCTCAAAGAAAATAAGGAGGCAGAGTGTTTCTTTTGTGAGAACTGTGTATTTATTATAATTTGTCTATTTTAGGTACTATACTGTGAATGATTGTGCTTGTATGGTTTGCTATCAAAGAACCCTGGGACTTGCATCTATTCTTTCTCTGTCTCACTAAACGTAGCAGTAGGTTCTGTGTGAGTGTACAAGTTTCATACCTTTTTTTTCTCCTGCCATGGAGAGACAGGATGGGGTCCTAAAACTACATACACCAAAACCAATGAAATGTACTGTTTTAACATAAATGACAAATAGAGTGATACTTCAAGTAAGTGGTCCATTTGCTTTAAGTTGCTTTTAAGGTAAAGAGGGTCTGAACTATTCTCAACATATTTGAAGAAAGTACAGGTCTGTCTTTCTTTGGCAGATGCCTTTCTGCTAGGCAGGTATCTTAGTCAATAAAACCTGCACACGTTAATGTAATATCTAAATTATGATGGCAGGGGAGAAAGACCAGATAAGATGCCTGTGAACAAGAGACTAAATTGAAATAACTTGTATTTCCTGAAAACTCCTCTTTGTTGCAGCATGTAATGACAAGAGGATCAATTCCACAGCCTTCATTCACAGGATTAGTCTTGGTGAAATCAATACCATCATTAACAGATGCAGGATCTGATGCAAGGGGAGTCCTGTGTACTCTGAATACGCTTTGACAGTGAATGATGTAAGCATGTATTAGGAGAATAAAGGATTTTCCACAATTGTTACTTCTTACGCTCACAGCATTATTCTGACACGGAGCAGCCTGAGAAAAGAGTAACTTCCCTTGTGCTTCTATTTCTTGTCCAACACTGATACACAATGCAATAGTGACACTGAAAGCTAGGTGATTTGAAAGGAAAGGGGGGCTGTAAGTTCCTCTGGCTGACATTAGAGGGAAAATTAAAGTGCATTAACATGGGAAGATTTCTTATTCCTCAAAGTCTCATTCATGGGCCCACATGTGGCATGGAGGCATGGTGGTCAGCATCCGTCTGGACCCACATGGGGTTAGGGCACAGTGCTACTGATTCCAGATGGTGCAACTAGAAAAATAGAGCAAGGCTTTTTTTGCTGGCTGCCTGCTGGGAGGTAGCTTCTGTCATATGAAGAGAAAGACGACAGGGAAGGTCTGTCAAGAAGTCTTACTTGTTTCACCCTTCCTTGTGTGCAGCTGGAGTGGCCCTGCCTATGGGGGTGATTTTTTTCATTGCAGAGAAGTGGGAGCCTGCAGGTCTTCCCTCCTGCAGGACAAATAGCACTTGAATCCCCTGGGACTGTTTAAAATATTCTTTCTCGCTGGTTGCTTACATGAGTCCTATTCTCTTGGCTGCCTGAGTTATAATTTGTATTAAAGTTTGGTGCAGTTGTTAACCCCTATCTGCCAAGGGTACAACTTGGTGCATTTGATTGCTGAGTGTGAACAAAGAGGGACAGGAAACCATATATGCCTAAGAAAGAGAGGACCAAGACAGCGGCATTAGCTGTCCATCTGCAGTGCTTGTCTGGACTCTTCCGAGTATCAGAGAAAGCACCAAAAAAGGTAACAGGGCAGAATGGCAAGCACAATCCTGTGAACCTTTCGTTGCCTTTGAGAGGAGCTTTATGGGGAGTTTGCAGGATTGGGCTCCAGGTGTACAAAGCCTGAGGCAGACAGGCCTGTGAATGCAAAGAGTGGGAGTCTATCTTCAAAGCAAGTTTTCATTCTTTAAAAATTGTCTTTTCTTAGTAACTACCCCCTGGCAGCTTGTAACAAGAAAGCTGCTTCCTTACTAGAGCTCTCACCTTCAGAAATGTGCATGTGCAGAGGCCAGCGTGCTGGTTTTGTTCGTAGCTCCTGGGTGGTTTAAAGCCCCGTGACCTGGTGAGAATGGCTTTTGGGGGCATCTGTACTGGAAACAAGGCACCTACCTACATGCTAGCACTTACTCTCTTGGTGCTGGCGTTTGCTGGGAAGCTGTAGCTGTTGCACGCCTCCAAATGCTTTGTCAAGGATTTGGCTAAGGCTGAAATTTGACTCAAAGGCATTTGAGGATCAGATTAGGTATGACCTTTCTGGATGAAACACTGAGGTCATGGGACAGATGAACTATGTAACAATTTCTTTTGGCCTTTCCTGATGCTCTTGTACAGTTCAGCTAGCCCAGTGGGGAAGGATGCTCAGTACATTGTAATTTGGGATCCCTCCCACCCCCAGGGGAGCTTGCTCCTACTTTTCTTGAAACAGACTTGATTAACCAAAAAGGTTAGGGCATGTAACACCGTTATTTAGCTGCCAGCCCTGGTATGTTAGCTGCATGGTTTACATCCTGCGTAAGAAAGTGCTGCTTTTCGTGTGGTTTTTTTTTTTTTCTTTGGAACTGTGCTTAGTGCTGGTAAATGGTGTGGGGCTGGCAGCCTGGCTGCCAAGCAGATACCAGCGTTAGCAGCATGGTCCCTATCGTGTCCCTTTTCCTGAGCATCACTAGCTGTCCCTGCGAGGAATGCAGTCTTCTTGGACTGTCTCAGTTGCAAACCTCCTGGCTACTGCTTTGTCTTGCAGCAACTGCTGTGCATCCAGCTACAGCCATGACCAGCCTTGCTGGGCTACCCGGCAGTGAGGCAGGTGGGCTCTGAGCTGCGGTACCCACCTCTTCTGTCTGTGGTCAGCAACCACCGCTGCTAACTGATGCCTCTTCCCCCTCCCTGCCCCTTGTATCTGCCCCTTGAGAGAGGAAAACTGTCCATGAAGCATAGGGGCACCTCCTGATCAGAAGATCCTGCCGATAGCAGTGTTTATGGGACTTTGGGTTGAAGCCAGGAAGAAGTGTTTGCAGGGTCTGTCCTGCTGGCTTGCAGTGGGGGTAGGAGCAAATAACTGAGGAAGCAGGGGGAAGAGAGAAAGGAAAGAGGCAACCATATCTTAAGCCACTGGAGTAATTTCTCCTTTGAATTTTTTCCTGTGGTCATAAATACCTAGTGAGTCACTTAATGCTGTGTGTCTGTTTCTGTATCTTCAAGTAAAGGATAATCTGTGCCTTTTTGTATTTAGCCCGTGGGGCTGCTGGGCTTAATTCATTAGTGTTCATGAAGAATTTGTAATACCAAAATGCCAAGTTTAAGCACTGGCCAAAACCTTATTTTTGACTGATTTCCCAGCAAGAACATACACTTTTTTGTTTGTTTGTTCACACAGATATGTATTCTACTAGAAAGTAAATTCTTCTAGATAGTGGGTATAAAACTGCTGAAGCCCAGTGAATGAGATGCAAAGTGGGCCAGGCTCAGTAGTGACACTACTCTGCCATGTCTGGAGGGAATTCCTTGGGTGCTTGCTGCATCTGAGACAGAGTCTTCCTGCGAAGTTTTCATGCGTGTACCAAAACCGCGGGATGACAGCTTTTGCTTACAGACCCGCCATAGTTTCCTAAGCTCGCAAGAGAAACTACTAAGCGAGCTGCTGAACCTTATCTGCTTGTCCAGTTTCATGTTGATGAGAGCATTTGAAATTGTAACTCCTGGGGCCAGGCCAGGCTGCAGTGGGGAAAATATTAGGGAAAGATTTCAGGCGATGGAAACAACATTACATGTTTCCACACCCTCTTGTGTACAGAATACAAATAAAGAGCATTTCCCTCGAGACTTGCTGTGGAGGGTGTGAAGCAAAGTGGAACCCACCCGTTTGCACATTTTCTGGTTTATGTCCTTAAATGGCAAAAAATATCTTTGGAATTTATCTCATAGAAGGGTTATAAATAGATTTGTGGAGATAAAG